CTGTAAATGTAGATTCCGTTACAATAAATATTTTAAACCCTAATTGATCAGTGTTATCTGACTGTTACTGTAAATGTAGATTCCGTTACAATAAATATTTTAAACCCTAATTGATCAGTGTTATCTGACTGTTACTGTAAATGTAGATTCCGTTACAATAAATATTTTAAACCCTAATTGATCTAGACTTGATTGTATGAATTAAAATATAAGAGCTTTAATATCCTTCAAATTCCTCTGGGATAAATAAATTTAATAAATAAATAACGTCAAATAACTTTGATACGAACACTTCATCCGATAATTCTAAGTAGATGGATATTGAAAATTACAGTAATTTGATATATATATATAATGTTTACGCTCGTGCTCTATAGAAGCGTTTACAAAATTTAAAACGAAAGTATATTCATCGAAAGAAGAAAAGAAACAACCAAATATTCACCTAACAAAGTGTAGAAAACTGTTATTTTATACATAACCTTCTGTTATTTTATACATAACCTTCATTTGTTTCTTTGTTTTTAATCAGTTATTGTAAGTGCCAATAAGGGGAGAAGCAATGAAACATTTGTATTGACGAATGAAGCGTACACAAAATACGTACACAGAAAGACATATAACATATACATTTCATAGATATATGAAAATTTAAACATGTCGTTAGTGAACAAGTATACAGATAGGATTGACATATGTTGATTTATTAATGACATATGTTGGTTACTATTGAGTTATGTTGATTATTTATTGACATGTGTTGGTTACTATTGAGTTATGTTGATTATTTATTGACATGTGTTGACTATTTATTGACATATGTTGGTTATTTATTGACATGTGTTGATTATTTATTGACATATGTTGGTTATTTATTGACATATGTTGGTTACTTTTTAACTTATGTTGGTTACTTATTGACTTATGTTGTTTATTTATTAACATATGTTGGTCACTTATTGACATATGTTGGTTATTTATTGACATATGTTGATTATTTATTGACTCATGTTGGTTATTTATTGACATATGTTGGTTATTTATTGACTCATCTTTGTTATTTATTGACTTATGTTGTTTATTTATTAACATATTTTGGTTATTTATTGGCATATGTTGGTTATTTATTGGCATATGTTGGTTATTTATTGACATATGTTGATTATTTCACCGAAAGGGGTCGAAGGCCGCCTGGAAGGCGTACCACTATGCAGTTGTGTGTTGTCTATAAGTCAGCCAGTAGACACTAAAATGACGTCATACGGGACGCTTAACGCTATAATTTGTAATGTCGTGACATAGGTAAAACGTGCGCATGCCATGAATCACGAAATGAATTATGCACTTCTGTAGGCTACACTACAGCATGACACACGAACTTCAAAAGCAAGGAATAAAAATAT